CTCATTTCAGGTTATTGTAGGAAGGCCTGTCTTGCTGTCTTTCCGCTTGTAGCTTCGACCTCCTCATCTGTGTATGTGTCGCCTGTAGTTGAAAAGATGCTGTCTAGATAGATAGGTAGGTAGGTAGGAAGGTGTGTAGATTAGGGGTGGTAGGTAGTTGTGTAGGTTAGGGGTGGTAGGTAGGTAGGTGAAAGAGACTACCTCCTTTATGTTTACCCCGTTCATGTTGATTGGTGTTTGTTGTTGATGCTGTTATTGGTTGGGTATCTTCATCACCTCCATCTATCTCTTCTCGACATTCACCTGAAGCAAGTCCAGGCTTCGCTGTCCTACCTCACCTCTTCTCTCAGCTTGTTAGTCTTCACTTGAAGATCTACGAGTTTGTGCTACAGGACATTAGATATAAATCATCATCGACGAAATACAAATCTTCTTCTTGGGTCTCTTCATCCGTCCACCCAGCGTATGCCCATCTTCTCACAGCTCCTCACTCTTTGCTACATGATCCAGTCCAGTCCACTCCAGTCCAGTCCAGTACAGTCCAGTCAACCACAATCAGCAAGATCATTGGTGATGTTAGGTGGCAGCCTTCTCTCACTCCTTCCCATCTTCACTTCAAATGCATCACTCAACTGAGCTTTCCATTTTGGATCACTTGGTATGAAGCCCTCTCACATATCTGTTGAATGAGGTTGATAAATATTTGTTGCACTGAGACCATAGTGTTGAAGCAGCAGATACCAAATTACTTGTCGGTCGACGCTGTCAAAGGCCTTTTCAAAGTCGATGAAGTTGAGGTAAGGTAGAGAGGGAGTTGACTGCCATTCTATGCTGTGTTCTATGATGATGTGCAGCATAGCGTTGCAATTTGGTCCTCACATGATTGGGTTTTCCTGAAGCCAGCAAGCCAGTCTGTTCCGGTCATAATCTAGTTGAATCCAGTGGAGTTTTTATTCTCTCCAGGATGATGCGGCTTAATATTTTGCTTGCTTTGGGTGGACAGGAACAGGAGGATGATTCCTCACCAGTTCTTGTTCTTGCAAAGACTTAGGTTTCCCACCCATCTTTGGGAGTTTAACGAGGTAGACCTTCTTCGAATCAGTGGGCAGGTATCTTTCCCTCCTTCCTTCCTTCGAAACCTTCTGCTGGGAAGTGGTGTGAGCATGTCCGTTGTTGTCTCTGAGTCTGTTTTCGGTGTTTCTGGTGGAATTCCATGTGGTTCTGCTGCTTTCCCGAATTTCAGCAACTTTATGGCGTTCAGGACTTCACTTCTGCTTTTGTCTGAGGGGTTGTGTTCACTGGTAGTTGTGTGGCTGTGCTGGTGGTATTTCTGAGTGAGTTGCATGTGTTGGTTGATTCAAGAGCTTATTGAAGTGGTCGGTTTATTGTTGTCTTTGTTAGTCTTCTATGGTCACTAGCTTTCCTTGACTACCTCTCATTGGTTTCGTCTGCGTTGATCTCTTCCATACCAGATAGTACCGTGGTTATTTGATATAATTTTGTCAGGCCTCTGTCTCTCCTGCAGCCTGCAGCCCGTTCTGATTCACTTGCCAGTATCTCATGGATGCATCTTTTGTATTTTGGTATAGTCTTCTTCATTTTCCTTCCACATTTCTTTCACAGAGATGCAGTGTTCTTCCACGCAGGTCTCCTTGAAGATTTTGTCCTGATGACTGACATGATATTCGTTGTAGTTTCGTACTCGAGTTTCTATGCGTTGAACTTGGACTGCGGTCGTCTATCACTAACTTCTGTCAAGGCTTTCATTTCAACTTGATTTTAAAGTTAGGCTCCTTACACTAGATCCTGAGTGGTCTGAAACTACATCTGTTCCTCTAAGTGATCTTGTGTCCGATGGGCTGTCTCCACTCTCTTCACATTGAGATGAAACCGACCAGATTTTTAGTGTGTTCTTCAGTCTGGTGATTTCCATGTAGCTTTGTTAGTACTTTTGTGTTGGTGTACACTGCCTCCAATCACCAAACCGTTGAATGCGCAGAAATTTGCAAACAGTTCTCCATTCTCATTCATCATTTCACCGGGTGCTTCCCAACCCATGATGACTTATCTTCCTGTGTTGTCCGCCCCCAGTTTGACATTCATGTCACCCCAACCACTAGAACTTTTATGCTACCATCTTTGGTATGGTCTTGTTCATTACTCATTATAGTTGTCTATAGAATTCCCCCATCTCCTCTCGACCTGCATTATTTGTAGGTGCATAGCATAGTGGAGCGTACAATGATTGTGACTTCCCTTCCTCTCAAGTTGATTCTCGCTGTCATCATCCTGATCCCTCAGCAGCAGCAGATCGGTTCCCACTACTCGAGAGTGAGCCCTCAATCCTCTTCAACGGGACATCATGATAGCCACCCCAGAACTCACTGTGCTCGTGGGTGTCATCTGGGTGATAATATCTGAGTATATTATTGACTCTCCTCTCCAGTTGACAGTTTGGACAGTCCACTTTCATTCCATCTAACTTCTCACATTCCTTGCAGATTCCCAGCCTAGCACTTCTGCACCATACCTTCTCATCTCTCTGACAATCTGGGCACCCTTGCTAGCCAGCCAGCCAGCCAGCCAGCCAGCCAGCCAGCCAGCCAGCCAGCCAGCCAGCCAGCCAGCCAGCCAGCCAGCCAGCCAGCCAGCCAGCCAGCCAGCCAGCCAGCCAGCCAGCCAGCCAGCCAGCCAGCCAGCCAGCCAGCCAGCCAGCCAGCCAGCCAGCCAGCCAGCCAGCTTCAAACATTGTTCTGACATTCCATGTCTCCATCCTTACTTTCCCTCTCATCGAGAGGAGAGAAGACACATCGGTCAATCGGCTTCCCAAATGCTTTCACCAACTGGCATCATTTCGTCTCCCCGATTCTAGTGAGGAATAAGTTTGTTTTCATTATTTATATTTTGTCTGTACTTTGAAGTTTGTTTAGCGGTTGGATTTGTTTTATGGTGTGGGGTTGCTAGGTGTATGCCCAACCTTCCCTCTTTATCTGGGCTTAGGACTGGCTATTAACTAGCGAACTATTTACCTAGGCGAGGTTTACAATACTATACTACCTGTAGAAAGTAGTAAGGATATCCAGAAGCATTGCTTAGTGCATTCAGCTCCTTTATACACCTAATTTTTTTGTATGAACTTTATTTGATCTGCAGATAAAATAATTTGACCAACGCTACTGTTAAGACATATTGAGTTATCACAATATCAACGCTGAGTTTCGGAGAACAAGATGCAATGGGAGATTAGAAGGGATGCATCAACTGAGGTGCAAAATACAAATGTATTCATGGGTCAAAACAGATATTGTACTGTTATTCTCAGCGTTAACGAAATTTATAAACTGTACTAAAGTAGTATAGCAGTTAGTTGTTCTAAACCATAACAATATTTAATAGAAGCGCTCATTTAGGAATTTCTTTTTCATGTACTAATTGATATGGCAATGAGTTGCGGTCACTTCCAGTATAACAGTGATTTCGTCTAGTAACACGCCAGGAATATATGCTTTCTTTAAGGAGTGGATGAAAGGCTGTGGACACAACTATATTCGGAAAAGACAAAGGAAGAATCTCACTGTAATCACCACGTACATCATAAGTTGCAGTCAATATTGTTATAATAAATAAAATCGGTTTTCAAGAATTTGTTTCAGTAGCGCTACATTTGTTATGAAGGAAGTGGGGGTGGATTGGGCATACACTGAGAAAGCCGATTAGGGACATCACGCACCAGGCCAGGTCATCGAGTGGAACGCAGATGGGAAACAACGAGTTGGGTGTCTGAGGTGAGGGTAACATGGAGTAGATTGTGTAAGGAAGAAATGAGAGCGTGTGGGCTGTCATGGCGACAGGTTCAAAAGATTGCAGAGAAGGGAGTGCACTGGAGACATGCTACTGAAGCCTGATGTTCAACTACGAACCCAAGGGACAAATAATAATAATACATTCGTTACGATTACCATAACTTACTTAACTCTTTTATCATTTCGGTGAGATAATTCCTTCCGACAACTCGAAACTAAAACGAAGTGTACTGTGAGTCCACAGCAGTTATTTGTTGAAGTCCTATCAGAACTATGTGCCGAATTGCGTGTTTTTGTTAGTCGAGTCTCGCATAATATGAGCATCTCCTAAAACTCTATATCGGTGGAATACAAACTTCTCATCCACGACAACACAAAAAATGTCATTCATCATAACCCAAAGAACTAACTAAACAGACATTTTTCGTTGGAATAAATTGTGTTTAGTGACCGGCTTTACCATTTTCCCATAGTCCATATATATAGTGATAATTAGAAGTGAGGAAATAATCCTAGTCGATAGGTTAAAAAAGGCAGATGTTGTACATTTTGATACAGTGAAGCTAGAGTCTTAACGAGGCTTCCTAAACGAAGTACGAACCTATGATTAACTAAACCACCTTATCTCAGTTTGTACATTAGGAAACTTCTATACTACTCTGGATGAGACAGATTGGTGATCTAAGTCACTGAAACGAGTAACCCTTATTGAATGATTTAGGATTTTATTAAAATTAATTTGTTTTCTTGTCTGTTATTAGGAGTTGTTTACATGATTTGCATGATTTGCATAAATCTACTTTCACATATTTGTCCTTTACTCATCTTATTTAGTAATTTCATTCAGGGTCTTTAGGTCTTATGTTAATTTCCACCATTATCACCTTGCTTATCTTTTGGATAGACTTCACAATAGTATCACTGAATTGAGGAGTGAAAATCTCACTCCCTGAGGTTGCATGTCCATGGAAAGCAGGTTTCATTTTCAGAACTGCATACTTAATAACCTTTACAACTACAACTTCTTATTTTCAAGATATGGTAACTTCTCTTCTAAGAATATTCTTATCTGTCTGTCTACGAGTGTTGTCATTATAATTATCGAAATCACTTATGATTACACTACAACAGTTCGACTAGCTCCATTCTCATCAAGATTCAGTATACAGGTCAAAAATCGTATGAAGCAAGCTCAAATTCCACACACAAATTATTTTATTGATTGCTTAACATATAAATGAGAAAAACGGTCTGAGACATAACTTTTCGCCTATTGATCATTTCTGATCTGTTTATTTTTCTGTCTGTTGACTAACTGACTGGCTGCACATTCATTCACGAACAATGTCTAGCAGTACGTTCCTTCCATCGTTTGGTGACTGAAATGGAAAAGAAATAAAAGTTGTGTAAGGATTGGGACAGGAGAGCATTAAGTAAGCAAGTGTCGGTTTTCAACTAAGTGAAAATGCAACAGTTATACAAGGATGGAAAGTACCGGATAACACTTTTGTCTAGACATTAGATGTACATTTTGTGTACCTACTAATCAGCAGGCGTAAGAGTAAGAAGTAGCACTAACATATCTCTACTCACAAGTGTTAACTTTCCACATGGATACTTGTTATGTGAAACAGCTTTTATAATGTCGCTAAAATATACACCAGTGAAGGCTATATGGAGTGGATTCTTTGATAACATATGGAATTATTAAGCCAAATATAACATTCGATAAACTTACTAACGAGTAGAACATCCTTAGCTGCATCACCCAAACCGTCATCATTCAAATATTTTGTTACCTTTCCAGAAGACTTGGCGAAGCATTTCCTTAGATTTCCATAAATCTCGATAGCATCTGAAGTCTAAAGGAGTAAGATTATGATTTCTAAAACATTCATAATTGGTGGACTTACCAACTGTAGAGTTTTTGGTTTGGTAGGTGTAGCGCTGAATAGATGAAGTTTTTAGGTAGGAAACAAAGGATATAATAAGGTTTTTCAATATGAAATAAAATGCTAGAATCAATCATCCAAATATAGTTTTTATTCGGTGCAATTGTAGAATATGTTCCTGCAATAATACAACTGAGTGTGTGGTAGTGAACTGCTACTTCATGAAGTTATCTTCTTCATAATTTATTCCTTCATTTGTTTTGATTATTACACTTCGAATTTAGTATGGATTTTGCAAATAAATGAAACATCACTGGAGCTCTAACATAACTGAATGCATACTTGATTACATGTAAAATCTTAAAACATATTCACTTGTATAGTAATGATGGGCAGTGGCTAGCAGTGGAATTTAGGATGCGCATTTCGTCCTGTTTAGGACTCGTCAGCTGGATGTACCTGTCTCCCAGTGAGTGATGTTGTTCCCCCGGGACTAGGACTCGAGGCTGATCTCTTCAGATGCCAGAGCGTTATCCACTACACCACCGAGCCACGATAGCCACTTCTTGTGCGACAAGTATAGTTTTAGTGTTATTGCTTGTATTACACCATCGTTGATTAGACTGGATTGATGAGTCTCTGTTGGCATATGGGCGTATGGGTACATCCAGCTGACGAGTCCTAAACACGACGAAATGCACATCCCGGATTCCACTGCTAGCTACTATCCATCATTACTTCACATCATTAAAACACATGCAATATCGAGGCATTCGCACAGGAGCCCATATGCCAACAGAGACTGATCAATTCGGTCCAATCAACGACGGTGTAATACAAGCAATAACACTTAAACATATTCACTTGTCTTTGAAATCATCAACATCATAATGACAACCAATCGCGTACACTTTTTGACTCAGACAGTACATTAACTTTTCTTTTCGACATGAAATGTACATGTCATGCTGGTAATCATTTGCAAACCATAGGATCGATTATCTCACTAATACTGTTCTGCTCCACTCCTGAGTTTAATCCATAAGAATCGCAAACAGATGGTATTGACAAGTTCTTGTGTATATGGGTAACAAGAAGGTATTATGGTTATTGTTTGATGTTATGAGACAACACGATTATAACTATTGGCGTCGGTAATGATGTTATGACATCAGATACTAGTCGAAAAGTTAAACAGACAAAATCACATGGAAAAGTTCAAATATTTGTATAGAAATTTATATAAATACGTATATTATTAGTAATTTTATTTAAAAATTCATAACATCATTTCCTTACTTATTTTGGGTGATTAGCGAACAAATAGCCAGTGAAAGAATGAAAACTGATTTCATTCTCCTGTGACAAATTTTTAATGTTAGAAGTATGAAACATTTTTCGCCTTTTATTCATTTTTACCAACCACCCTATCAATTCAATATCTGTGTTTGTTTGCTTGTATATGTGTGTTATGACGCTAGATGCTTATGATCATCGTCCGTTATTGTATACTTTATAGTGTATGTAAGAAATAATTGGCACATGGAATTATTTGATTAGTCGTTGAATGTGATTGGACAGTTTGTTTAATTTGAGCGTGTTTGGTTTTAGAAATGAATTTTACAATGTTCCAAATAAGTTTCAATTAGTTGTCTCCATTCTACTTAGTTTGGTGCGCAAATAGACGTCTAAAATAACATTCCCCCTTAAAAAAACAAAGCAAAGCAGGTCTATCATGATGAGAAACTAGAGGTGACCCATAATTACATTGTGTTTCTAATGTGGATAAAATAGCTAGTTAATGAATGTATAATATTGGTGAATACAGTGATATGACGATTATGGCTCATAAACAAACTTAACAATGAGGTGAATGGGGATTTTTTAAAAATTTAGAAGTAGTATTCATCATGGACTGATATCAGTTTGGGAACCATTGAAAATCTGGAAGCACTGGATAGCTGTTTCCATGATGAATACTACTCCTAAATAAAAAAAATCCCCATTCATCTCAAAAATACATTACTGTATAGTGCTCATTGGTGACTTGCTTCCAGATAGATATCACGAAGGTCTAATAAGAAGCCGTGACCTATGGGGTCAACCAGTCTTAAGTGAAATGGATGCTAAATGAAGACCTTGGGTGATAGTCACGCTATGTCATCGAGAATTGATAGAAGTTGGAAATTTTGAATCACTGAAAACCGACCCAGTGACTGAACGGTTAACACGATTGCCGTGAAACCTGAAGGTCCTGACTTCGATCTCTAGCCGGGTTGTGGGTGAGTACTTCTGAGGAGTCCCATGCTAGCACGAAACAGCTGTCCAGTGCTCCCAGATTTTCAATGGTTCCCCACCTAATGTCAGTCCATGATGAGTACTACTTCTAACTTAACAATGAGAGTTAAAGTTGGGCAGTGTTCTGAGATGTTATTGCATACTACATTAATTTATCTCATATAGCACACAGTCATAAAGCATCACTTACTGAACACTGTTCCTAGGAGAAAAAAATGAAAAACTGTATCTTAGGTTCATACAGAACAATAAGTAATTAGCGAAAATAGGTGTTCAAGGAGTTTTTTTTGGTGGAAGGTCATTCCCTACCATGAAATGATTTGGCATAAAGCTCCAATTACTGGATTATGCAAGGGAATTCTCCTGTGCGTGCAGGTAACAGGTTGAGAGTCTTGATCCAAACTTGACAATCAGTTTTGCTGTATGTATACTGAGTTAAATGATATTACACTGATGTGATTCGTATACAGCTCGATTTCGATAATAAAGTACGGAATGGCTGTTTCATTGGTTGTCGTTATGTGGTTAATTCAAGCATAACTCTGTCCTAGGCATATTTATACAGATCACTAGAATTGGTTACAATTTATGCATGAGCCACTTAACTTGATTAATTCGCAAAGTAACGTAAAGAGCAGTGTCCTATATGAACGTCGATCACCAAAGTGATTAAGGCAACCAGACGTTACAAATTACAGAAACCAAATATATCATCACTTTGGAATCAGAATTCTTCACATACTCTAGATGCATTCTCTGTGTCCACTCATCAGATTATAAGCTCAAAGCATTTGGCTTCGACGTTTCGTCTGTCTGTGTGGAAACACTACCACCACGTTAAGGCAGTGGGTAGGACTTTCCTTGCAGAGGCTATGAATGTATGGTCAACTAACAGCATCTCCAGAAGAAGAGTGGACTCTACACACTCTTAGTCGTACCCGAGTATTTCATTGGTGAAAATATGACCAATTACACACACACACACACACAAGACATAGTGACACCTTTATCTCAGTTACAAAAAGATGCTTCGTTGGGATGAAATACTGAAATTAAATTCAAACAACATTCAATCATTTCCCAGATTTCATATTTATTCAAATAATTCAGAAATACATGATGACCTTTGCTTGGATTTTATTGAAGACTGATGTTTGTAAGACAGTGATGAAGAAATTGTACAGAATTGAGGTAGACACTGATAAGCGAACTAGACAGAAATGTGACGATTCGAAATGCTGATTACAGAGACATATATGAAATGGACTCTTCAGTCTTCAGAGATTAAGGTAGTCAGTCAATGACTTATAATAATTCTTGTGAATGACCATACGGTGGAGATTCAACCTTGTTTCAGAAGTTTCAATAGAATTTCAGATACACTGTACTATGGCAGAGAGTTTCAGTAGCACATTACCTGACTGTGTTTTCTAGATTTTATGGTAATATTCCCTTAGATGAAGAGCTCTCTTTGGAAGAATATTTTGAGTTAGCCTGTGAATCATAACTTCAAATACCGTCTGCTTACATGAGATAATATCTCATCTTATGATGTGACATTCGAAAGATATTGAGTCAATCTGGTCACTTCTCATAGGAAAAGCTGGAGAGACCTTTCGCAGCGTTTGGTCCTCCTCCGCAGACTAATCGTATTATGTCTACTTCACATTTGAAGCGTGTGCCTTCCACTTAGGCCCCATACTCCCCCATATTTCCTTTTGATATAAAACCAGTCTCCAAGAGGAAAAGATCCGAATTCCACTTCCCTTCTGACTTTGTTGATAAGGAATTCCTTGACCTAGTTATGTCTCGACCTTGAGGTCAACTGCAGAAATCTCAAGCTATATCATGTGGTCAGGAAAAGGGACCTGATTGAAGGTTTCGGCGCAGTCGATAAACATAACATCAGGCGTTTTATTTCTATCTCCAATAGCCACTCATTTCTTTCTTTCTGTGGTGAGATTATTCAAGCAAGATTGGTCATTCAGGAAACATGTTGTACTTCAGTCACAGGTGTGTTTCCCTCCTATGTACCACAAAAGTGTCACAAATCATTTTTGCCAGAACTTTGGCAACTGTCCTCGCTAAAATTAACAAGACACTACTAAATCCACCAAAATCCAATGGTTAATAATTTATATTGAAGCGATCGTTGCATCCTTATAGCCTCTCAGAAACCATGACTGATTCAGTGCCATACTAAACAGCACAGCCAAGGGTGCAGCAATGATGTCCACAAGTACCGATGTATGAGTGTGCAGCTCATCTAGTTCACCTAAGCTGAGAGAGATGAGATATTGGAGTGGTATTGGAGTGAATCTCTTCCCACTGAGCCCTGACTGTATGTGTAGGAAGTCTCGATTTGGGACAGCTGTTGTGCGACATTCAAAATCATCAGAGGATATAGTCCTGAAATATTAAGATGAGGCTTCATCCTTCGCAGAGTCTTTGCCAGCCATTCTCACTAAACATTTTTATAAAAATAGGACGGTAGCAACTTCTTTCATCTGAGTTGTTCTGTCTCTGTCGAGAAGTATCCTCTTCCAGTATACTACACTACCTCCAGTAATTAACATTTAGCATGAGTTCGAAGCCTCAGTTTATCGAGACCTAAGTTGATCCACGCCTGTTTTGACGAAGGATTGTCACAGTGTTTTGATCTACAATGAATTGTCTTCGTCGATCATCCAGCTATCCAGGAGGACAGTTTTCTGGCCTACGCAAACTAGCCGAAGTATTGATGTAGTCGTTACTGTTCTTGTTAATCTCATAAACGTAGTCATCATTTCAGAAATAAACTGTTCTATATCAGTAGAGTGGAAGCAAGTGAGTGATGTTTTCGGATGACAGTTATGTTTGCTAGTTATCCCTTCGACCAAGGTTAAACAGGATCATAAACCATGCAGCAGACACTGAGGCCAAATGAAGGAACTATATGGTCATCGTTCATCAACGGAAGAAGAGTATTGATGCTAGGCATGTCATCCAACTGATGGATTAGGACAAGATTCAATAGGAAGGATTCTTAACTGAGATGCAAATGCATGTTACTGAAAACAGAAGCCAGTTACCGTATGGTAATCAATGATACTGTCAAGTGACAAGTCCAGTTAACTCTTAGGTGATAACTGAATGTTTAGGGTTTGACAACTTAGGACTTTGAGTTTACGGTTTTCATTCAGATACTTTCACTCATCTTCATTCTTCCGTATGACAAGCAATCCACAAAACTAACACCATGTTGTGTCATGAAGCAAGTTGAAAGTATGAACGGTAAGAATAATTATTCTGTAGTGCGTTGACACTGTGAATAACGTTACTGGTATTCATTTTCGATATGATGCAGTGTGCTTCTAGTGGAATTCGAGTAGCGATTTTCAGGTGAAAAGAGTGAAGCCGTTAGTGGAATATTACAACATCTGTATATCTTCATCCAATGAACAAGCAGGAATAGAACATCCAAATCTATGTTACCTATTCTCAGGGTGTCAGTGATAGTCACATGATCTTATGTTCAGTAGACATGGAACAGCTTTTCCTTCAATAAATGCAGAACTTTACACAAGACTACAAGAATCAAATGGTTATCTCTTAACTGTACTGGTGTATTCTGTTCATCTTGTTTTGCAGCAGTATATAATCGTCTCCTATATACTTGAAAGCAGGTTCAGGCAACGTTCCGTGCCATATGTACCAAACAGCTTAATTTTATCTTCGAATACGTAGTCTCATTTTACAAGGCGTTATCTATTCGCATGATATTTGTACACAGACGTCAATTAGGTGAAGAACACTTTTCAAGCAAACTCATGAAATCGTTCGAGGCATGCACATGGTAAATCGAAACACTGAATCAACACTGTCGGTTCATTCACAACAAATACTTCAAACCTTGACACATACATTGTTAACACTCGGTAACTGCGCCAACATTTAATTAAAATTTTGTTGTGAAGCGGAAAGATAAAATTGAGCTTTTTTGTAATTTAAAGCAATAGAAACACTGATTCCACCATACAGAAATCAAAATTACTTTCTGCGATGCAGTTTTCCACTTTTTGCATTACATAAAAGA